GGCGGGATCACACCGCCCGGGGTGGCCGCACACAGACCTGCTGAGCCTGAGCTGCTTTCCCGTGAAGTCACCTTGGGTGTCTCCTCAGGAGAAAGCCCAGCTGGATCAACTGCCTGTGGGTAACCGCGAGCTGACTGCGCTGCCAGAGGCTGTTTGCATTCTGCCGTGGGTAGCACCCCGACCTCAGGGGAATAGTCCGGGCTTGTTATCCCAGCTACCAGGTTGCCCTACATTTTCTAACACAAAATTGCCAAATCGAGAACAGACCTAACACCAGGAGGCTCCTCTACAAGTTCAGATTTACCACTTCACCGTGAGCATCCCAGCCAACAGGCAATAGACACCTTGCAGCATCTGTAAAGCCCAGGAGCTATTATTTTCTGCAATTTATTCGCTGCTTTAAGCTAGGATATTTTCTCAAGAGGCAGAAGATGTGGCCTTGAACGTCTTTGGAGGGAGGAGAGGAAGGAATTTACGACTTGTGGTCTTCATGTAAAATACAAAAGGCATCATTGCATTTACACTCTGTGGGCGGTGGTGGCTGTAATTGCATTTTGTGAGAGGCCTGTCAATATGTGATAGCTATAATGTGAGAAAGCCTTCTGGACTGAGCCCTTGGGGAGATTTTGGAGGAGATACAGGAATTTTAAGCTCAGCTCAGTTTAGCCGTGGATTAGGATGCCATAGTGCTCACGTCTAACAACCAGGACTAGGCATGTGCTAAGTTGCAACTTCAAAGTAGAAATTAAGTGCTGCAACTGCACCTCCCCTGTGTAGGCAGCAACTGAATGTTGTTTGTTTGTTTTTAGATCACAGTCTTAAACCAGTCACTTTTCCTTTTTACAACTATAATTTAGGCAATTAAATTCACTCCAACGCACACTTTAGGAGCCAGCCCTTTATTGGATCTCACCCTTGCTGACTGCTTAGGAAACTCTCTGCCTTTGATCCTATTGATGCACCGTAAATGAGATTCTGCAGATTCTGCTCAGTCTGTATAAAAGAACATTCGAGGATAAAGAAGTCTGAGTTTCACTTGTTGCCATATGGAAAACATTCCTGGCTCATCTCTCTTTAGTTGGATCCCAAGGTGTAGCTGATCAGATAACTCCTTGATTACTCTGGACTGGATGGCAGCAAAGGGTGGGTGGAGGTTCACTGTGACAATAATTTCCAACTCCGGTCTGAAAAGCTGGGCTGAGGAGGACTGGTTTTTGCTCTGCAGTCTCAAGCTTAAGGTTCAGTCCTGGAATCTCAGTTGAGTCTGGAGAAGCAGTGGCTGGACAGTGCTTTCTGATTTCTACCTCCCAAGGAAACTGTAACCTTTGCTTTGTGGCTTCAGCCCTCACTCAAGTATCCTGTTTGCTCCAGGAGAGCGCTGTGCTGTTATGTGGCAACATTTTCTAACTACACCAGCTCCAGAGCCCAGACACTCACTGTCTTGGTGGCACTTTCTACTCCGTTTGGTTGCTTATCAGTTCTTGGTTCAGATCTGCGCTTCCCAGTTTTAAGGTTTTGCGTTTGTTGCCTGACTACCCTCTTACTCATATCTTCGTCCTTCAGATCAAAGACACTCAAGCAAACTACTCAAACAGTGCACACAGGGGCTGAGGAAGGGTGAATCTTTTTTGCTGAAGAGTTTTGAGGGCTGCTGTCCCCAGATGATGAATTTCCAGTCATTCACAAAGCTCATTTCTCTCATAGTCCTTTTTTTGTGCATGGGTGTAAGTTGTCAGTGAGCACTATCTTGAGTGATAGCGGTTTTCTAATTCACAAGCCCATACTTTGGATACAGAACATAGAAGATGAATTTATATTAAAAATTACATGTTTGCTGTGGTGTACAGAGTGATGGGTGTTTTTTGAGTAAGTTGAAATAAATATGCAGGTGGATTAATATGTCAATTAAAAATCATCTGTAGGATTTTTAAAGTGTTCAGAACTTGAAGGGAATAACTTTATATTAGTTTAAGCTTTTGTGTTTGTTTTCCTGTTTATAATTTATTTCCGTTTGTAAGAATTCAATGCTGAGTTTTGGGACATCTGCAAGTCCTCTAAAGGCAAAATAGATTTGACTTCAGATCCCTGAGGAAGCTAAAGAATAACCCTGCAAATAAACTTTTTTCCTTCCTCATCAGTGGATAATTTAAAACATCCTCTTTCTTTGTGTCTCTTGAGCTTTGATTCTCAAGTGTACTTAAGTGCCTAATTAAATGGGAATTAGGTATTTGGATTCTTGTGTGGCCCTAAGCCTTAGGGTTTAACTGACTTTGTGCCTCTCGCCTTGCAGGTGTGGGTATGGCCATGAGAAAAATGGGAAGCATGGCCAAACCAGATGTTTACATTATTAAGGATGGGGACACAATCACCGTAAAAACAGAAAGCACCTTCAAAACTTCACAGTTCAGCTTCAAGCTTGGTGAGAAATTTGAAGAAAATACATTAGATGGCAGGAAAACTCAGGTCAGTATACTATATTTTCTACTGAAAAAAACCCTAGTTCTTTGGGTGTTTTACAGATGGAGACATTATTTAAAAATCAGTTTTGACATCTGTACTAACAGTGCTTTATTTGATGAACAGCTGTCGCTGTAAATCTCATTGAAATAAATTCTTTTTTTTCCCTGGATTAAGCAACTTCCAAAGAGGGAAAATGCTGAAACCAGTAGTGTCTTGTTTATTTTGTTGTTTTCAATTAGTAGCAGAAGCATTGTGTTAGTATTAACAGACATCTAAATCCATGTTAAAGCCAAATGCCACTTCATTTGGAGCCTGTGGAAAAAATCCCATTGATGTTTAATCAGAGGCAATGCAGCCCTAGAATTAACCTTTCTGCTCAGTCTCATATGTGCATAACAGGAGAGCCTGCTGTGGTGTGCGGTAGGATAACAGACACACAAGGCATACATGTGAATCACAGTCCCTAATCCCCAGTTTTAGAAAGCAAAGAGCTTTTCCATGCAACAAGTAGGGAGAATATTCATCAAGAAGCCCTCAAATATGTCTCTCTCATTTCCTTGTGTGAGTGCTCTCTGTCTACCACTCCCCTGCCCTCCAGCCACACACCAGCAGTTAATCTATTATTGCAAGATCAGATAAAACGTTGCACAAAAGCTCAAAGCCCATGTACAGAGATGAACAGAGAACATAATCCGCTCTTGTTAACTGAAATTGTGTGTTCTGTCAAAGGTCTGCCTGATGCAGAAATGTGTCAGAGCGGTGAGTGAACAAGCAGTGAGCTACTGCAAGAAGAGGATCAACAAAACATTTAAGAGAATATCCTGGCTTTGCAGAAGTCAATGGCAAAATTACTATTGAGTGAGGTGGGGTGGGATTTTTTCATTTGGAATAAGGTGTTGGAAAGCCTCAGTCTCCATCAAATCTCATGGGTAAAATATTGATGTTTGGGTTTCTTTTTTCAGACCCTTGTCAGCCTAAAAGATGATGGATCATTGATCCAGGAGCAGGAATAGGCAAGAAGACCACAATAACACGGAAATTAGTGGATGGACAACTGGTGGTGGTGAGTTCAGTCCCTCCTTCTGATCCCTGGGTGCTGCTGACTGGTAGCCTTAAAAGTAACTTTAAGAGATCTTTTTCGTTACAGTCTGTACTGAGGCAAATTAATAAATTCATCTTTCTGTCTTCTAGGAGTGTGACATGAATGGTGTCAAGTGTACTAGAGTCTACCAGAAAGCATGAGGACATCTTCATGTTCAGTACGACCTTGCTACAAACAACTCAGTTCACTGGACAGAGCTCCTTTACACTCCCTGTTTTCCTTTTCCCTGTTTTCTAGTATTTCAATGGACTGAGTAGCTGTGTGCAATCCTTTTTAAAAGCCGTGATGTAACTATTAAGTAACTATTCTGAGTTTATGAGGCTATTAAATGAAATTGTCAAATATATGAAGTGGAAATATTGTTACTGTAGTGGAATTTTAAAGTGAGGTTTTATAAAAAATCAGTTTGGTTTTAGGCTCTGCTACAAACTGCCTTCAGTTCAAGGTAATGCAATATATGGCAACAAACAGTTAACAGCAAGCTGAATTTTGACAAGCATCCTTAATTGCTAAGGTAGTAAAATCTGAAATAGAAAAAAACACTCAGAGTGCGGGCTCTAGAGTTGTTTCTAACTTGCTTATTACAAAGTAAATAGAATTGAGTGGGTATGAATAAGAGAGAAGCTTTGTTGGTCTTTAATTAGAGGACTGTGTTTTCAGGGGTTAGTTTGTTTCTTCGTGTTTCAAACCCACAAATTTATTATCTGAAAAAAATTTATACTGGTGAGCCAGTGGACACGATAAACAGAAACAAACATATATGCTTTACTTTGAGCCTTATTTTGAGAAGAACATTTTCCTAACAAAATTCTTATTTCCTGTCTAGTAACATTCTAAAAATTCTTAACCAAAATCTACTGAAATACTGCCTAAAACTTAAAGCCTCATTTTATTTTTTTTTTTGTTGTTAACTAGCTTGAAACACCTAGCAATGAAGTTTATATGTTTTAAAGTGCCATAATAAATAATCAGAAATATCAATGTCTTGAGTATTACTTTTACACTGGTTGGGATATGGAGCCTATGATGTTACTGTACTTCCAAAGAGATGTCAGATTAGACAAAATGAAAAAGGTTTAGGTGAATTTCTGTCACACCAGACAAACACGACCTAAAAGTGAAACTGTTTGGTGACAGATCGTGGGGAGATTTCTATCAGGTTCAGAAGCCCGGGGAATCATGCAATCGCAAACTTCCAGTTTGCAGCATCAGTTGTTGCAGAACCAATTGCTACTTCAACCCTACTGATATTTTAACTGCTCAGTGCATATATCATATTACTGAGCTTACCCTATCACAGAATCACAGAATGTTAGGGATTGGAAGGGACCTCAAAAGATCATCTAGTCCAACCCCCCTGCTGGAGCAGGAACCTAAATGAGATCACTCAGGAAGGCGTCCAGGCGGATCTTGAATGTCTCCAGAGAAGGAGACTCCACAACCTCCCTGGGCAGCCTGTTCCAGTGCTCTGTCACCCTCAGTTATATCGCTCCCAGTGGGCGAGTAAGTCCGTGAGTGGCTGCGGTGGCGGAGGAACCGCTGGGTGGGAGGGGCTGAAGGTTTTGGAACATGTATTGGAAGATGTTAGCTGTGGATACTGGGGTTGTGGAGGAGGGGTTATCAGAGTTCAAGACACTGCCAGAAGCATCCATATCCAGCTATGCTACAAACTTGAAAGACAAGAGTGCTTTGATTTCATGTCTTTACAAAGTAATTCAGGAGCCACAGAGTGAACTTCTGGAGCCAGTTTGCAATCAACTCTTTGAGTTCTATCGCAGTGGTGAGGAACAATTGCTACCCTAATAGCAGAAAAGTCTGTTATGTTCATCCTACCAACCATGGAAAATTATTTTTCCCATAATTTTGGACCATTTCTCCTTTTCATAATTTCCCAAGTATTTGTGAATTGTCCCCTTTACCTGTGTTACCTGAAAGAATTCATAGCTGGAGCATATTTCTTGCAATTCTTTTTTTCATTATCTGTATAAAAGTAAATATTTTTTCTGGTCCCCTAATGTCTCCTTTTTGAGTTGGCCAGTCTTCATATCACCTTCATTTAGTATTTTTCCTGATTTTAATGTGAACCCTAAAGATCTATGCCATGTTCTTATACAGGACATTAGAAACAAATTGTTTTGTTATTAGGGGAAGGAATCTTCCCATAGAAAAAATAGAAACAGAAAATAAACTGATCTGGTGAGGAACCTGGTAAGTTAATGGCCAGAAACAGACTAAACAGTAGCAGGAGAATGGGCGCAGCAGTCTATGGCATGATATGAAAATCCTGCCTCTCTTCCAAAGGAAACAACACTGCTTTAAGTGAGACATTATGCCTTCTTTTGGGGTGACTGCTCTGCCACTTACTGCTGCTTGTTTACTCTTCTCTGCTGGGTAGTGTTAATTGTTTATCTTTCATTTGAATGGAAAAATCTTCCGATGTCTTTTATAGGACATCCGTTTTCATTACAATGAGATCATTTCTTGGAAAACAAAAGGCAGAAGAGTATCTTTTTAGAGCGATTTCCTTTGGAAACAGGGCTTATAAAGTCTCTGTTTGTGTGCGCTCTCTGATTTCAGCCACACATGAAGTAGAGGCTAGACGTTCCAAAGATAATTATTCTTCCACAAATGTCAATGAAAATAGGTGGCCTGATGAAGGAGATAGACCATTAAGTGCCTTGATGATGGAAAGACTGCACGTGGAAGTGACATTTTGTTTGACATTAAATGGAAGAAAAACATTATAAGCCCTCTTGGCACATGTAAGAAGTTATCTTAAACACAAAAGTTGGCCAATGGTAAGACGTGGATCAACAGGAAACTGGAATTCTTTAAAGTTAATTCTCTAGAGCTACTTAGGCTCACATATTTATTTGCTTTATTTTGAAGTTAGCTTCAGCCTATGTTGCTGGTAACTTCAATGTAAGTGTACTGTGACCTGGAACTATCATATATACAACCTGTTTGTGTTAGATTAGATCATATACTTAAAATGACAATTATTTTATGGTACTGCAAGCCACGATTTGTAATGCTCAGCACCTGAAAATAGAATCCATTTCCAAATTCATGTGTTATCATACAAGCCAAAAGTTTTACTCTTCATGAAGCCTGTATACTCAATGTTCTCAGCAGTGTAAAATAACCAGTTGTCCTGAGATTGGAGTAACTCTCTATATCACATACTATGGTGGAAAATAAGACTTCTGAGGACAACTGAAAAAGAAGAAATTACGTAGCCAGGACTGCTTTATAATGCTAAAGAATTATGAAATAAGGAAACAAGTTTTGTTATGACATTTTAGTGCATGTCTTTGAAAATATTTTGGAGGGATAAAAGAAAGTTGTTCAGCAAACTGAAGCTGCAAGTAAAACATTCAAAGAGATGCAGTTTCCATATCCACTCCAACACATGTTAATTTAAAGTCATGAGCAGTATCCAATTTATATCTTTGTATTTCACTGTCTTCTCAAACTACAGTAGTTCTGCTGTTTCCATGGTGGGGGGGGGGAATTGGGTTTTGTTTGGGGGTTTTTTGGGGGGTTTTATGGGGTGGTTTTTTGGCAGGGGGGATTTTTTTAGTGGTGAACTGGGGTAAAGGAGTAGAAAATGAAGTCATTTAGCAGTTTAGATCTGATATTCTACCACATTAGGGAAATCTCTTGTCTGAGCTTTCCAGGAACGCTAATGAAATGATACTGTGCTTTGAGGAGAGCGTACTGGCTCTATACAATGCTCAGACTATCAAAGATTTTCCTGTTATGGTTTGGTTATTTGATTTATTTCAAAATTGTTATCCTACTCTGCCTGCAGTCTCTACAATTAATATTGGACTTTCTTCTTCCTCTCCCTTCCCTACTTCACACATGTACTTCAGATCAAAGTTTGTTAAAAAAGAAAGTAAATTGTGAGAAATCTCTCAATTTTCTGAAATTATGGTCCCAGTGTTAGCTATCAGTTGCCTTTAAAAAGACAGTGATTATTTCTTCAAGTGTGAAGGTCAAGTGTACACAGTGTTTTGGTGTGCCAATGGCTACTCGGGCAACATTAACGGTGAGACTCAAACATTCAAAAATAAAATAAATCATTGAATAGGCACTCTTTTTTTTTTTTCAGGTTAGAACATAAAAATCTAGTATTGCTGATTCTAATGAGTATAAACAATAAACAACCTTATCTACTTCTATATAACATTATGTTTGATATATTATGTTGTTCAGAAACCAGTACATTCAAAGTAACTCTTACTAAAGTCAGATACTGAAAATAAATGCTCTGAAGTATTTTTCAGGATTCCCATTTCGGCTCAGCCTGCCGTGTCAATCTGTGCCTGAGTTAGTTATCAGAGGGTCACCCTCCAACTCAGATACTTGCAGATTTTACTTGACAATTCGGGCATTAAACTCATTTCTATGAAGGAACTGCCTTGTAAAGGGCTTGTTTTCTACTTAAAATTATTTTACAAAAATAAAAGCAGTAATGCAGGCCAGCTTCAATCAAACCTTTGCTCATGACACCTTCTCTGCCTGAGGATGGGCTAACACAACGAATGGATGAGAAACCCTTTGGACTATGTTGATTATTTGTGCTTGTACAGGAAAAAAATCCCACACAGTGATAGTGGGTGGGAGCAAGTTAACATATATTATTTATTCTTTGATGCCTCATTTCAGTCCCATTGTTCAGCCCTGGGAGGACTGAGCACTATTTTCGTATGTCTTGGAGACAATCCAGCATCTGTGTAAACACATTTTTGTCCCATGGTTCTCCTTCTAGCTTTGGCTTTCCAGTCCTTGTACATCAAATTAAGATTTTGTTGACACTTCCCAGAATGGTTTTAGTTCATACTATTATTTCAGAGGAAAAGGAAACACTATTAGAGACCCCACTCCCAGGAGTGAATTTGGCTTCCTTTCCAGCAAAAATGTTTCCAAAATCAATTCCCTCTACCAGATGGTCTTAATTATATTCTGGAGATATTTACAGGTGAAGTCGATTGTAGTTTCAGAAGAAATGTAAAGTTTCAGCAGTAAGTGCAATCTAGAATCAGTTTCAGATAATGCCCTGCAAAAATCTACTGAATCTCAAAAATTATTTTTGAGACTTTAAAATAAATAGCACATCTGTCATTAATCACAG